GATGGATTTTTGAGACGGAGCGCTAAATGTGTGTTTATTAAATGTGGAATGTTGCGTGAGGGTGTGAAACGCAGGGCAGATGGGAAAGGATAACACGACAGTGCTGTTATTGGTATCGAGGAATGGAGTTGAGGAATGCCGAAATCTGTTAGAGGTGTATGTTGGTTAGGGAACTGAGAAAGTTCTATGAAGGGTATTGTGTAGGGTTAACTTGTAAGGTAGGTGCGTTGTCCCAAGTTGAGGGTTTGTCCGCTCATGTCTGCATGGAAGAGTATTTGGTTTAGATTAGTAAAATGAAGTTAAACCCTCGGGCGCGTGAGTGGATGTATTCGTTTTCTTCTGCATGTGATCCTTCCGTCTGGTGAGATACTACGAAACAGACATGTTGTAGCGATTGGGGGTGTGTTATCCTGCCGGAGGGGCTGAGACAGCGTTCCATGTATTTTTACTTTTTTGAAGGCTATAGGAGGTTAGTGCTGGTTAAGTAGGTTGTACAAGGTGGGGGGCCGTGGGGTGTCGGTTTTGGCTGCTTTAATTCTAGATATGGTGGTTTTATACGAGGGTGTCATAAGAGCTTTAGATTAATATCATGGTAGATTATATATATATTCTGGGTGATGAGGGTAGAGGTGGACATTGGGAAGAAGAAGGTTCTTGCTGTAACGTTCTATCGTACGATGTGTCGTAACAAGATTTTGTATGGAGGAGGTGGGATCCAGGCTTTCTCCGAGGGGTATAGAATGCTAACGTTAGGGATTCTCGTAAATCAGTGATTGATAATGAGTGAGTGAAGGGGATTTCATAAGTGATGAGTCATGGGGTTCACGGTGCGGCTCGCCTCTTGGGGGGGGGGGGGTCGTGAGAGTGTTGTGGAATGTGGGTTTGGAATGGTTTTCTTCTGGTTTACATTGAACTTATGGCAAGCCAAATGTGATGGTAGACTCAAGGTCTCGTTATGTTAAGTATAAGACTTTTCATAAAGGTAGGTATAATATAGTAGATTTTTTTATGTATAATTTTTGATGTGTTTCAGTCTTGTATGACAATATTCTTGAGTAATAAGTTTCTTTGCACCTGAAGTGTGTTTTTATAGTTTGTATTTTTAATTACGTGCTGGGTTTTTGCATGATTAGATATATACTGTTTTGCTTTGTGCATACAGTGCAATCTGATTTATGTGGATTTTGTGAAATTGTTTGTGTGTACTGTGTGTGTGGGTGTGTGTGTGTGTTGTGTGGTGTGGTGTGTGTGTGTGTGTGTGTGTGTGTGTGTGTGTGTGTGTGTAATATATATATATAAAATAAAATATATATATATATAATATATATATATATAATATATTATTTTAAATATATATATATATATATATATATATATAATATAGATATATATGAATCCCTTCTATTGTATTGATGCCTTTTCAGCAGTGGTTCAGGAGCGTTATTAAATACTTTATATTATGTATGATTCGATTCTTTTTAAAGTTTTATAATATGTCTGTACCACTGATAACCGGCTTTGGTGTTAATGCTAAGTTTTGATGTTAAGTTGTAGTCTGTATGGTATACAGACATATCTAGGACAGTGTAGTGACGTAGTCCATTTGAGACTGAGATTATTGTATGTGGGTTTATTGTAACAGTATAGCGCTCAGTTTTTGTGTTCGTAAGCTGTATCTTTTTCTGTATATTCGTGTGTTGGTATATGTAAAGTGCAGGATTGTTTAGGGATACGTATGTAGAGTTCTAGTAAGATTATGATGTTGGGTTTTTGTTTTTGATTAATGCGAAGGATGGGATTAACTGATATAACTTCTCTGTATATTTTATGTTATCACAGTGAATTGAGCCCTTTGTCAGACTGTCATGTATATTACAATTTTATATATATGTAAGGTTTTGCATCAATGAATATGTATATGTCAATTCATGACCCTGTGACATGTATTTTTTTAGCTATGTTCTTGCCGTAAGTTCTTGTTGTATGTTTGGCAGCAATATCTTGCGAGCATATAGGTGCAATCCGTTTGTCAGTTAATTTGATTGAGATCCATACTGTTTCTTTAGTTTTATGTTAAACTGTATTGGTTTTAAATAAAATATAAAAAAAAAATCGGACTTCCAAGATGGCTATCATTTACATCGTAGTGAAATGGTTAGAGGCATTAAAACACTCACTTTCCTAGCGTGATTTGCATTCAGCGGTGAAAGAAATGGAACTAGACAACATTTCCAGTTTCATAAAGTATTAATTTATTTTGGGTCAGATTCAGAGGACATTAAGAGCCCCTCACCAGCGTTAAGAAATCATCGAAGGGTGAAAGATTTGCTAAAAGTGAGAGTAGTGTCACACCACATCTTTTGGTGAGACACGTCTCCCGTCTTTATTGACCGGCTCTGGAAGGAGACTCGAATCTCTTACCCACTGCACTCTTTTTCTAGGCTTGTTGGCCAGGTTGGATCATCAGCCACCGATGTTATGTGGTGCTCTTTATTCTCACAAGTGGCCCTCTATATTCTCTTCTCACGGTGACAAGAATCGCAACGAGTATTCACAGAAACAAGTGCTTCTTATTCATCGTGACGAGTATTTCCATTGGTTTAACTCACAACTAGAGTTTTTTTTTCCCATCTGTAATTAAGGCACAAGGCACCCTGTGTTCATAGGTGACTCAAGGACTTACTAATTTCCTCACGACACGTACCTATTTTTGTGTCGTTCCTGCAGGTCATTCCTAGTGATGACGGAAACGACAACCTGAGCGCTGTCTCCAGGGGGCGCCAATGGGGCGATTGGACAATGGTGGTCGCTGACACTGGACGGACGACCTCGCACCAACGGCCGCCAGGTGTCAAAGTGTCAAGTCAGATTGAAAGGTTGTCCTCAAGGAGCACAAGGTCTTCCATTCCAAGTAAATCTTGTGTTGGTCTCTATTTTTTTTTCCATTAAGAACAAAACAAGAATCTGCAGACCCTACGACACCTAGACCAAGCGAAAACCCTATGCACTTAATGTATATATTTAGTTTCCAATGCGTGGGCTGTCGATAATATATTATACATGTAATATATATATAATATATATATATATTTATATATATATATATATATATATATATTTATTTTATATATATATATATTTATTATATATATGTAACATGGTCCCCCCCCGCTTTTTGTAGTTCCCGGCAATCGTAAAATTCGCCAATCATAGGGGTATTTTTCCCGTATAAACATGGACTTTTCTTCTCTTCGCTTTTCATAGGTTACGTCATCACTCAGTTCGTAAGTTCATCCAGACGTGTTCCCACAGCGGAGCTGGGGCGGCAGGCCAGCTGGCATTGTTCACCAGTGAGCGAGAGGCCCCTCGAACGTGCTCCAGGACAGCGAAATATTTTCATAATATTCCATTTATTTTTGTTCTTGCAAGTACTTTACCTAAGCTACCATGGGCTTCCAAAGAAAGCGCCTAGTTGCCAAGTCCAGTTGGTAAAGAAGGTGAAAATACGATTGAATTTAAGAAAACCAACATTGAACAATATGAAAGTGGTAACAGTGTGGGCCGAACTTGTCCAGGATGTAAAGAAACCCTCCACACCACACAACCTTATGTTCCATAGTGGCCAAGAAAAAGGAATAAATGTTGCTGTTGTTGCGAAAGGGAGTAACTATGGCCTGGACAAAAAATGAGATTCAACCAGTACAGGAAGAGGTTGAGAAGTTTATGTTTGGTGTGGATAAAATGAGAAACAATTAGCATGAGAATACTCTTATGGACTTCGAATTATTTGTGAAAAGGCTAGTTAAGAAGGCAGTTGCATGAAGAATTGGTACAAGAAATTGCCCTGCAAATAGTGGTGAAGAGTGAGGATAGTTTACGGCCAGCAAAGGCTGGTTTGAGAGATTTAAGAAACCGTACTCTTCAGTACTATGGTAAGGTATGGTGAGGCTGGCCAGTTTCAGACCACAAGGGAGGAAGAAGGAGTCGGGGGTAGGCTGAAAAAAAAATATGTGCATGATTTCTTGCATGAGTCACCAAGAGTGCTGAAGGACTGAAACTGACCAATTGTTTCAATTTGTTGACGCAAACAATTCGAAGTGGATGCCTCTTTTTGAAGAAAATGCCACGAGAACCTTCATTAACAACAAGAGGAAAAGAGGCACATGAATGCCAGGACACAACCCAGCCTATGAAGACGACAGGCTGGGACCAGAGAAACCTAATTAGTTCTTTTCTAATGCTAGTGGGGGATTTTCAAATTTAAATCCATTACCTACTATTTTGTACCATTCTGAAAATCCCCGATTTTTCATGAAAAAAAATTGTTTATGAAGAGTAAATTGATTATATGTTTATGGAAATCTAATAGTAATGCAGCTAAAAATGATGAGCACGAGTGTACAATTAATATATACGGTCGGATTTGAACCCATCCTATCTAGAAAGAATTATAGATTTTTTTTATGTGAGTTGTGTGTGTAGAGAAGGTTTAAA